GTGACAGATAAGAGACCTGGGCGTTTACAAGACTATACTGAAAATGTGCCAGACGCATATGGACTTTGGGGACAATAAGTGTGAAGTCGATTTCCTGGGGAATCCTTAGGGAGAGGTTAATGCAAATTCTCCACCTCCAGTTATGCAAAACCCCAGCCTTTTGAAGCTCCATCCTGAACAGATTTCAGAGTGGTAGTTTGTGTTAGTCTGTATCAGCAAAAACAACAAGGAGTCCTTGTGGCATCTTAGAGACTAACACATTTATTTGGGCATAAGCTTTCGTGGGCTAAAACCCACTTCACCAGATGCATGGAGTGGAAAATACAGTAGCAGGTATATATACACAGTACATGAAAAGATGGGCGTTTTAAGGTGCCACAAGGATTCCTCGTTGTTTTTACCCTGAACAGAGGGTCAGTGTCTGCTGATTACCCATTACAGCAGGCCAAGATCAAAGGGCCGAGCTGTATAAAGAAACAGCTGATCTGCCAGCACCCAGTTCTGGATTTTTAAGGACTAAAATCTATCAGAGCCCTGGGTGGGAGTTGGGGGTGCCCTCTGGTAAGCTTCTGAGCAGTCATGTAAGGTTTTCTTATTGTTTTAATAGGTTTTCTCTGTAATACTTTTTAAGAATAAATGTAGAAGGAGCTGCATGGTAACTTATAACTGCTGGCTATACACCGGCCACAGGACTTCAGAGAGACAGCAGAGCACAGGCGCTGTTCTTCTTAGGCAGTCTGGCTTGCTGTGGATATCACAGTGCAAGGCGGGGCACTCTGCAAATTAAACTGGGTGCCCCACAAAGGGGAAATACAGATACAGTTGCCCTGACCCTTTGACATGTGTCTCTAAGGTTGCAGCAAAGAGCAGTAAGATACACTGCATTCCGTACAAAAGGAAGTACCAAGATTGCAAGGTTAGACAATGTGAAGTTGGGAAATGCCAGTTAAGGTTCTACACAAGCCCTTCTCAAAAGCAAGAGCTATTTCCAAGCCAAATTTCCATTTTCGGCCCCCAGCTATTTCAGTTGCAGAGGTGATTAAAAAGGTTACAAGAATTTTAACAGGGAAAATATTTTTGTACTCATTCTCAAAAACTGCTCAGCTGTTTCTGTTTAAACTCCTCCTCCACCCCCAACAAAGTCACCTTTGTACACAGACCAAGCCTGAAAGGTGAGTTTCAGAAAGTTACAAGTGCATAAGAATAGAGGGTTGGAATGGAAACCATTCTGAAGCCTTAATTATGCTATTTGCTGCTGCTCCAGCTATAAATAATCAAAGATCTTCCCAAGGTTTGTTCATTTTTCCATCTCACCCCAATATTGTCTTTGCCATGAAGAGAACTGGCTTTTCAGGGCCTTTCCTCACATTGCCATGCACTGGCTGTAAAAGACTACCTTTGTCACCTCATTCAGTAAGACAAAGAGAGCACTTTACAGCCCATCCCCACCTGGAAAGTATGGCAACAATGTTCTGCAGCTAAGATCTCCCTGCTGCAACTCAAATCCGCAACCGTGTCTATTTGAACCTTGCAAGGACTGAGCCCTTGACTAATCGTATATTGATTAAGTGGTGCATTTTTAGATTTAATTACAATCTTGTGCTCTGGAATTATTTTGTGAACAAATAGCTGCAGTAGAATTTTTACTTTGTCACAGGATGTAAAACTAATCACAGGAATCAGGAGTAGGGGTGTCCTGCCACAGAATTGAGCTCCACCATGCAGCAGGATACAGAAGGCCCAACTCACTAGCCACTATTAGGGCTTGTCTACACTTACATTTTATAGCACTCTAATTTGCTGGCTCAGGGGTGTGAAAAATCAGTGATTGTGCTGCAAATTTGAGTGCTTTAAAGCGCTAGTGTGGACAGGCTCCGAGTGCTGGGAGAGCGCACACTCACACTTCAAAGTGAAGTGCTTTGAAGTTTCTAGTGTAGACATAACCTTAGAGACAGAAGGTGAACGAGGTAATGTCTTCTAGTGGCGAACACTTGTCTCTTTCACCAACAGAAGTCAGTCCAATAAAAGACATTATCTCACCCACCTTATCTCTCAAGATCTGTGGACCAAAACAACCACAACACTGCAAACTACCCACAATCACGCCACAGCCTCTTTCTCTTAGCACTGTTGCTTTCTAGGTTTCTTCCTCCTACTGAAAATGAAATTCCATGGCCTTGGTTATGCAGGTGGTTAGACTAGATGGATCATAATGATCACTTCTAGACTTAAAAACTACAGCTATTCATGTATGTGGGAGATGTTTTATCCGTGAATGTTTTTATCATGCGGTTTACTTCCAGAGAACCACTGAAGATGTTGAGTAAGACCATGTCCAATACAGATTTTATTACCATTCTTGGTTTCTGCTTTTCCAGCCACTTCTGAAGCCACGTGAAAATACTCAGAGCCAACCCAAACCTGGATAATTACTGTGGCACAGTAAGTGCTTTAAAGTTAAAACAACAGAAAGCCAACAAATGAGAGGGGCTTGATTTTTTTTCTTTATAATTCCATGATGCTTACACTGCTCATATCTCTGCTATCCTTCAAGATGTTTACAGACTTTTATTTTAGTTAGGAACTGATAGACCTTCCAAACAGTAATTGCCAGGGTCACTCTTTCTCCCTTTTCTGAAGATTGGTAGCATATCTCCTTCCCCAGGGCTTTTCAAAATAATCGCCAATGACTCAAGAAATTTGTTAGTCATTTTCCATTACTCTAGAATGCCTGTAATCCTGATAGACTAATTTGCATACGTTCATATTTTCCAAGTTCTCTCATACCTACTCTTTAACAATAGCTACTCAGTTCTCATACTACTCAACTGTCCAAAGCTACTTTCTTGATTTTGCTTGTTAAAGGTTAACTGCAAGGAAAATAAATTAAGTATATTTCTGCACTGAACTGTTTCAATGGCCACATCCCAGAATGTAATTCTGACCTATCATTATAGCATGGGATCCAGTGAGACTTGGATAACCATGCTGTACTCTAGGATGCTTTCAGTCAATCAGAAAGTCCCAAGCGGATTCCAAAAAAAGGTAAATGGTTATTTTAAAGTTAAAACTGCTTTCAGTGGGGGATGAAGCCAGGCTATATTGGGGGTCATGCAGCACAGAAATACCATAATTTTTATGCAGTTCTTTTAAAGGTAAGATTTCAGAAAGGCGTTCAAGATATCACCCATTTAGAACCATCCTCAATTTCATCCTCATTTAATGCATCTACTTCCAATCAAGCACTACTATTTCTCTCAGGATACCTGTAAAAGTCTCTCACATTTCCCTTAACACCCATGTCATGGTTAACATTCTTTTTTGCCAGTGTTAACTTTTCCCTCACGGCTCAACTTCTGGTATAGTCTCATTTGGTAACCTTCCACCTTTTCAGAACAGGAGTTTATTGCCTTCAAATTTCTGTTCAACCCCTCATGAGACCACACTGCAAGTCTCTTGTTCTTTGCATTTTGCTCCTGAAAAGTAATCAAGATTGATTGCAGTTTCCTGTCTAAAAATCTCTAACCTTCTTCCATGATCTCAGACTTAGCACTTCCATAGAATTTTCATCTTCAAGGAGCTGAACTTGCTTCCATTATACCCACCTGTCCAGATTTTTTAACTCACCAAAATTTGCTTCCATGAAATCTAATACATTTGGAGCACTGCATTCATGTTCCTTACTACATAAGCTACCTTATTATTCACACATTCACAATAATTTTCTTCTTGTAAATCCAGGATAGATTTTCAGTTCCTGGTATCATCAGGATAATTTCTTTGTAATTTAGGCACCTCTCTGATAATACCCAGTTATTCAAGCAGCTTCAATTCCTTAAGAGCTCAGCATCCTGAAGTCCTGAGTATCCTAAATCAGATTGTGTTCATGTGTCTATAGTCGCAGAGAGATCTCTAGTAGTTGCCCCATCTAGCTCTCTTCTGGTTTCATTTCCTGTCTCTTACCCTCATGTTTTGCAGAAGAGGATGGCTAAATTCCCAATCTGTTGTATCCATCTCTTCTCCAACAACACAGATCTCCCTGTCTTAAAGGACATTTCAGTCCAATAGGTACTGCCCACTTCTTTCTCCCTATTGCCCACAGATTGTAATCAAACAACCACTCGCTCCAGCTGAAAAAAAACATCCCAGCAGATTCCAGTCATGGACCCAGATAATGACTTAACAACACTCCCGCTCTTTGCAGGCTTCCCATGCTCTGTGGGGATTTTCAGAGCCACCCTTCAGCACCATAATGCTCCTTTGCTGGCACACAAGCCCCATCACGTGCCTTTACCAGACGGGTAGGAACCAGATTCCACCTGTGGTCCCTTGCAGCCTACTTCACAGCCTCCGAGTCTCAGGAGTTTAATATCCTCCGCAAGGGGGGGGGGGGCCTCACCTTCTCCAAATAGCCCCCCCCCCAACTCCACGAGACTTCCCAGCAACTCTCTGCAAATCCCCGCCGTGATGGGGGGTGGGGCTTTCACTCGCCGCTCACCTGGTTGAACTCTTCGTCGGCGTAGATATCGATCAGATCCACCCCCTCGGACATATTTCCAGCCGCGGCGGGAGCCAGAGCCCGGGGGCACAGGAAGGAAGGAGGTGCGGTGCACTGCGGGGAGAGGCGGCTCAGTAACACGGGCCGGCCATGTGCGCCCGGCCTGAGTCTACACCCCCTCCCTCCGGACCTACCCGCCCCGGCTCCCCCTCGCCCGCTTAGATCTACCGCCCTCCCCACGATCGCCCCGCCAGCTTCACCCAACCCCCCCGGGAGAGCGGGGGCCCGTCCAGCGCTCCCACCGCCTCAGGGCCCGGCCGACCGCCCCCCCGCCCCGCGGCCCCGATCCCCCCCGCGCCGGCCCCACTGCGTCGAGTCACCGGGGGGGGGCCCCGCCGCCCCGTTACCGCGCAGGGGCCCAGCGTCCCGAGCAGGCCCGAAGCGCGCGAACCGCTCACCGCCACAGCCAGCGCCGTCACACCACGCCCCTTCCGCCGCAGGACACGCCCCTTCCTCCCCCGCCCGCCGGGACCGGGGGTACCATAGAGAGGCCGGAGTAGAGCGGCTGGGCCCAGGGAGCGGGATGGCGGCGGCAGCGGCGATGGGGCTTCGGGTGAGCGGGGCGAGTTTCTGCGGGGGAGGGGCAGAGCCTGGGGCACAACCCCCGCCCCGGGTGGGCGCCCTGCGGGGTGTCGGGCTGGGGGCGGGTCACTACGAGGCAGCCCCGCCCCCGCCCCAGCCTGGGCCCCGGCTCCCCTCACGCGCCCGCTCTCTCGGCAGCTCCTGTCTCTCTCCGGACGGGCTCTCCGCGGCCCCCGCCCGAGCTCGCTCCCCGCCCGGCGCGGCTGTCGGGGCGGCTCCCCGGCCGACTCGCGGAAGGACCTGCTGGAGATCCCCTTGCCCCCCTGGCAGGAGCGCCCCAGCGAGCCGCTGCCGGCCAAGAGAGCCCGGCTCCTGTACGAGAGCAGGAAGCGAGGCATGCTGGAGAACTGCCTGCTGCTCAGGTAAGGGGGGGGGCCCGCGCGGGGATGCCCGGATCGGGGTCTCCCTCTGGCTGGCTACGTTCCCTGGGTGGATTCGCTTCCTGCCCCCTTCTTTGGGGAAGGCATGAGGGTCTCCGTCTCCCCAGCAGCTCTCCTGGCCCTCCTTGGCTCTGCCAGGCTTCCCCATTCCCCCACGGCGGGGAACCGAGTTCGCCTTTAGGTTCCGTGCCGGGTCCCGTGCCGTTCAGTGTAAGTAGCGACCTGCAGGGCGAGGTCACAGACACACAGAGGCCACGAAGTGACTGAGATTAGTCAGGCTACAGGGGGCTGCGTGGAACTTCAGCGAGCCCGAGCCCAGCTAGGGGAATGGGCAGCACCATGGCAGGTGAAATTCAGTGCTGCTAAAATATTCTAATGCTGTCCTGTACATCAGTAGTGCAGCCTCAGCTGGCTAAGGCATGCTGTATTGTTACCCCATCTCCAAAAGGGTATTGCCGAAAAGAGATGTTTGAGAATGATCAAGGACCTGGAAAAACTCTCCTACAAAGAGAGAAAGAAAAGACTGAGATTATTGTCTGAAAGCAGACCAATAAGAGGAAACATAAGTTGATAAAACAATGACTGGTCTAGACAAGCAAGGTTGGGAGCTTCTGTTCTCCCTGTCGCATAACAAGCACAACGGGACAGTCAATTAAATAGAAGGATGGGAAGTTCAGAAATAATAAAGGCGAATCCTTTTCACACGGTGCCTAATTAGCTTGTGGAACTCCCTACCACAAGAAGTTAGTGAAGTCAGGAACACAGTAAGATTCCCAAGTGACCTGACATTTCTATGCATAATTAAAATATCCAGAGTTATAATTAAGAATAACCAATGTTGTTAGGGATATTAAATCTCATCTACAGTGTTAAGCAGATCTTTAACTACTAGAGACCTGGATGAGCCCTGCTTGGGGGTAGATTATCCCACATCTGCCTGCTGCTGGCACTGGCCAGTGTCATACAGGATGCTGGGCTGGACGGACCCTGGCTGTGAGTGTGACAGTTCCTATGTTCCTCATGCTTCCTGGTTTCTCTCTCACCTCACTTAGCCTCTTTGCAAAGGAGAATCTGAACAGCATGACCGAGCGGCAGCTGAACCTCTATGACCGTCTGATCAACGAGCCCAGCAACGACTGGGATATTTACTACTGGGCAACAGGTACTGATTGCAACAGGGCACTCTTCAGGGGAGGCAGTGTGGCCTAGAGGATAGATCAGTGGGCTAGGGCTCAGGAGATTTGGGCTCTATTCCCAGACCTGCCACAGGTCTGCTGGGTGACTTTGGACAAGTCACTTCCCCTTCCCCATGCCTCAGTTTTCCCATCCACAAAATAAGGTGATGATACTGACCTTTGTAAAGTCTACAAGAGCTAGGTATTATAACTGGTCCCTGGCCCCTGTCTCCTATGATGAGATGGAGCAGGAAGCTTTCTGGGATGATGAGTGTGTCTCAGCTCACCTGGGCTTCACATGCAGCAATATACAGTATGGGGATCAGAATAGCAACTGCAGTGACTCTTGCTCAGAAAATGTCTGTGGCTTCCAATGCTCATGCTTCAAGGCACAAGATGATCATAAACTGGGGGCAGGAAGGAATTCCCCTATACTGCACTAATTGAATGGGTGTAGAGTTTTACTCGCTCTATAGCATAGAGCTGTTTGCTGACAGCTGAGATGCGTCTCACTAGGAGAAGTGGTTAGCTGCTCTGACCTGAGTTCCCCTGGTATTTAGTGAAGCAGACTTGAAAGAGGCACTACAACTTTAGAGGGATATGAGACGGGGTTCAGTGTGACTCCTGATTGGCTGCACAAAGATGTGAAGCTGATGACTCTGAGAAATGGGGTTGGGAGTGCTGTGTCTCAACCTGTGTCCTTTCTCCCTGAAGAAGCAAAGCCCACTCCGGAGGTGTTTGAGAATGATGTCATGGTGATGCTGAGAGAGTTTACAAAGAACAAGAACAAGGAGCAGAGGCTGCGGCAGCCGGACCTGGAGTACCTCTTCGAGCCCTCACGCTGAGGCACCCTGTCTGCTCCAGGATCATCTTCTCATCCCTGGCAGCAGAGGCTGAGGTGCCTAGACCTATTTGGCAGCCTGCAATGCTGAGGTCCTGGCTCCTGGAATCCTCCACCCGGTGGTTGCTTCTACCCAGGTTTCCAAACCCCACCGAATAAAGTTTCAAGCACTATCCCTGACTAGGAGTTTCTACGTGGATTTGTCCCACTGTCGTACGGGTTCAGCAGTCCACCTCAGAAGTGGCTGCATTTCAGTAGCACTGTATGTATATAGCTTGTAGAGCATCTTGGTGCAAGAGAAATAGAAGGTGACAGTATTATGACAGTGTGCTTTGATTCCTTGTGAAATTCCTCTTGTTGTTTGACTGTGGAGGCCTCTCTGATGGCTACAGCCTCTCCGTTAACCATTCCTTGTAAATCCTTGTGCCCAGGGCCCACCAATGGGTAAAGGGGGGGCGGGGGGGGAGAAGATAGACCCACTCAGCAGGAAGGGTATCCACCACACGCTCTTCCCCAGCCTCCTGTTTAAAAACACTTGCTCCAGAAGGAGAACAGCAATGCTCAATCCCATGTGATGACTGATTACGTGCCCAACCAACCCCACAGGCTGAAAACGATTTGCTTAAACTGAGCACACTCCAACCTTTTCCAACAGTGAATCCTGTGCGATTATTTTTTGTTGCAGAAGCACCTAGGAGTTGCAGTCATGCTCCAGGCCCCCATTGTGCTAGGGGTTGTGCAAACACAGACCAAGTGGGCAGTTCCTGCCCCAAAGAGCTGCCATTCTAGACAGTGTCTCTTAGCTTCTCCCCTCCTGCTGGTGTTCAGATTGCATCCCTAAAGCAATTGCTGCTGTGGGAAAGATGCTACGAGTGGGTTTGAAGTGTTTAGCTTCATTTATTGCCATGTACCATAGAATATTAGGGTTGGAAGGGACCTCAGGAGGCCATCTAGTCCAACTCCCTGCTCATTGCAAGACCAATCCCCATTTTTTGGCCCAGTAACCCTAAATGGCAAGGATTGAACCCACAACCCTGGGTTTAGCAGGCCAATGCTCAAACCACTGAGCTATCCCTCCCCTGAAAGGGGAGCAAAGGAGCTGGAAAGGAGGAGGGAGGGGTCTCAGGATGCACTTGGCCAGGCTGCCATCTCTCTCTTGTGTTATCGGTAAGGCCCTGTTAAATCACGGTTTCAGGGATTGCATTGAAATTAACCCAATATTGTGATTTTTCCAGTAGAGGGGGGAGACTGAACGGGGGATGAAACAACTCACAGTAATGGATGCAGGCTGGGCTGGTTTCACCAAATGACACTGACCATCCAGCCCAGGCTGTCGTTACAGCTGCCCACCTGGCAAGCAGGGAGAGGGGGGCAGTGCTGACAATGCTGCAGTTAGGAGACCTGGCCCAGCAGCAGGCCCAGGGGAGACATGGCAAGGGCTGAGCCCAGGATCTGCCACTGGGTGCATGAGATGGTGTGTGAGGGAGTGGGGTGAAAAGATGGATTCCAGACTCCCCTCCACCTCTTTGCAAGGGTACGGCCCCCTTACACACTTTGTTGTGTGCCAAGTGCAGATCCTAGTCTCAGCTCCTGCAGTGTTTCCCTGGGCCTGCCAGGGGCTGCTGTAGATTGAGAGAGCCCAGGGCTCCTAATCGCCATGTGTTGTTGATGCCGTCCCCTTCTCCCCACCAGCAAGGCAGGGAGCAGCAGCTGCAGCCTGGACCGAGATGGGCTTGGACAGCTGGTGCCATGTGGTGAAACAGCTGCACCGGCTCACCACCCTACCTTGCTTCCCAGGGTGGGACTGACCTGTCGCCGACCCCCATGAGTAGCTGTGGCTTCAGGCGGGAGGTTGAAGCCAGGATGCCTGCTTCTACCATCCCATGGGGAAAATTGCAGCAGTTTGGGGCAGGGAAAGGGGAGTCTTGGCAGTTGTACCTGTCCCGTGAAATTCAAACATTGAGCTGTGACAAACACCCTGCAATTTATGCAGGGCTTTAGCTAGAGTGGCCAGGCCTTCATTCCTCCTTTCTTCTTCTCTCTTCCTCCTTTCCTGAGAGCAGCTTCTGCAATGGGGAGACCTAAGGTGCTGGCCAGGCTTTCAGAGCCCTGGGGTGGTGAAGGGAAGAGGTGGGGGCTGACTCTGGATAGCTGGAAACAGTAGGGTTTTAGGTATCTCATTGTTACAGGGAGGGGGATGGGTCCTGTCATTTCATTGCAGGGCAGAGAAGTGGGCAGAAGACAGGACCTGTGGCTGGTAGGAAGGGTGAAGCAGGGACACATAGCAACTGATCTGTTCCCTTGAAAGATTCCCAGCTCAGTGTCTTTGAGACTCAGCAGGAGCTGTACCAGAATCAAGGGAGATTAACACCTGAGCTGAAGTACCAAGGAATGGCCATGTGGTGTTGCTGCCTCCTGAATGCTGAAGGGCTGGGAGCTAAGCAAGGTGAAGGCTCCCCTGGGTTTGCTACCTGATGACCTGGCCAATCCCTCCACTCTCAGCCAAGCGTCCTGTGGCTGTATCTCCTTGCCCCTTGCTTTCTGTCTGCCTAATGCAGTCGCCTCTTACTTTGGCCACAACCACACTGACTGCTCTCCGTGCCTCTGGTAATGCTGGGACATGTGTGCAGTGGGTGCTTGTGTACTCTGGGCACCTGTGCCTCTGTAGTCCCCTCTGTGTGGCTCAGGAGCATCTGGGCTGGGTGGGCCTTATCAGCCTGCGCTGTGATCAGGCAGCAGGGCTGGAAATCCCTGCAGCCCTGGTCTAGGATGTTGGCTCGCATTGTAAGTGCTTGTAGAGTGCTTGTAAATTGCTTTGAGATCCCCAGGGGCCTCAGCTCCTTCCTGCTGGAAGCTGTCCTGTTTCTCCAGCCAGTTGCTAGGCGCTGGTCGCTAGGATACCAGCTGTGACTGGGCAGGCCTGCACATTCCTCCAGTGAGCTCCTAACCCTGCCCAGCGCCTGCCAGGACCTTGCCAGAGCCTCGCCTGGGGCAGGTAAGGGGGCAGTGCCCCAGGAGGGCGGTGGGAGCAGGGCGGGGGGTGGGCAGAGCTGGGAGGTGGCAGTGCAAGTGGGGGAAGCTGCCCATGTGATCCCTCTGTCCCCAGCCCAGATAAGTGTGGCTCAGCCTGTCCCTGCGGGATTGACGCTCAGCGCTGAGAGGGGACGGCTGGCTCCATGGTGTCTCTGCTGAGCGTTCCAACAGAAGGGGCAGCCAGTGGCAATACCCATGATGGGTTTATACTGCTCACTGAGACCCCCCACCCTCCCCCAAGGATCTGAACAGCTATCTACCAAGGTCTGCCTATGTGCAGCCTGGGGTCAGATGGGAGCCAGTGGAGGTGAAAGACCCTGAATTCCCTCTGTTGGGCCAGCCAGTGTCCCTTTTTATGGCCATTGGACTTGGCTGACGGTGGAAGAGCAGGGGCTGCTGGCCCAGCCACATGTGCTGGAGCTGGGCTGGATTCAGTGGTATGGCAGGGCCCAAACTGGCCTAGGGCTCTCCCCTCGGATCTGCCTCTCTTGCTCCGCGATTTGCCCTATTGCTGAACAGGGGTGGAGCTTGGGTTGTGGGCAGAGCCTGGAAAAGTACCAACACACCTTATTCCTGCGCTGACCCCTGGAACTCAGAGGTGGGTAGAAGCCCCTGAGATACTCAGGCAGCAGCAGGAAGGCCAGGTGCCATGAAGTAGCTTGGAGGAGCCTTCTCTGGTGCGTCTAGAGTCCATAAGGATAGCTCCTCGGGCAGAGCACAGCAAGAAGATGCTCAGCATTTGCCACTTCTTTATGGGTGTGGGGGATCCACACGTGCTCCTGCCATCTGAGCCTCTAGTTGTGCTGGACCCGACCCTCTCCGGTAAGTTCCTGGACTGTCTGCACACTCCAGTCTGCAGGGCCAGATCGTCCTCTCTGTAGAGACAGAGCCTCTTGCTAATCCCTAGTCTGCACTGGGTAAAACCGCAGAGATGGGATGGATAGCCAGGCTTGGGGAGCTCCACCAACAGGTGCAGAGAGTTCTGTGCTGGGGAGCCAGAGCAGAAGGGCTCAGGGAGGGGGGAAGAGAAGCCGAAAGAGGAGCCTGGGGGGCGGGAGAGGAGGGAAAGTAAAATCCCCTTTAGGGCTATCACCTGGTAACTCTCTGGGTGACACTCTTAGTATGTGACCCTCTGAACCCCTCAGTGCCAACTGACAAAAGGTTCCCTGTCCTGTAACAGCAACATCTAACAGGACTGACAAACTCACTACACCTAGCACCACACTGTCATGGTATGTATCCAGAAATAGCGTAGTGTAAGGTATCAAATGAAAGCTGGCATCACGCTGGTCACTAATACCACTGTGAAATGTATGTACTGAGTGTTAGGAGGCTTATTCTTTCACCCACTTACTTCCCTGGTCCTTCTCGCATGAACAGAGAACAACAATATCCAAAGTCCAAAGGTGCAAACAATTGGATGTTTATTGGGGTGAACTTCCAGCAAGCATGATTCCAGTTCCCTTCCTTAGTGTCCCCCTTCCCAGCTCTGACACCACAGAGCCTTACACCTATGTCCCTGTTCCCATTCCTGCCCTTAGCAAAACATGATTCCAATTTCCCCACCCCCATTCCCTGTTCCCATTCCCCCCCCCACACACACACGCTTCATGGTTGACTGCAGACTACAAAGTAAAACTTGAGTTTTGCTTAGCTATACTTTAACCAATCATTTTCCTGAAATTTAACTAACCAATCCTAACATATTGTAACATGATTATGTAAGCAATTATATCCCACCACCTTAATTGGTTTACACCCAGCAAAATTAATTATACAGCAGACAGAAACAATCACAGAACCAGACAGAGATTATACAAACAAACAATAGGGAAATGGGGACTACAGTGACAGAACAACAAAGAAATGAGGATTTCACATCCCAGCTATTGATAAGTGAATTCTTGCCAGACAGGATGCTATCAAACTAAGTTTCCTTTTACATCTTCTAGGCACTTCCCTTTCTCTGGAGGCGATAGGCACGATCAGGACAGGACTGTATTCCTAACAGCCCAATAGCACCTTCTTTCAATGTGTCTAGTTTGGAATGTGAGGAGGTGACCGGTCGCTTCCCAGCTTATGGCTGCCTCTGCTGCTTCACTAAAGGCCTTAGTCTAAGCACAGGACCTCAGACTGTCACAGTAAGAGAAGGCCCTTACACCGGCAGACAGTGATTTGATTCTTTCTTTTATACCTCTATAACTAGCTTAGTGAGAAGAATACACCTAAATTCTCAGAGTATAGGCCTTTACAGACAGGCCTGAATATCTATATTCTAACACTGAGGATATCATTTAAAAGTGATGTGTGCATCCTGGCACTGTGTCTTTAAATCTGTAACCAGGCAGAGCTGACCCACAGGTTTTTGCCAGACAGGAGAGAAGATATGTCTCTGTGTCATGTAAATTAAGCCAAATCTGTCTACGACATACCCAGGAGGATGGGAAGACACTGTAGACTAGACTGCAAGGGCTGTCCTGTCTGGGGGGTGCAAAGACAATGAACTTTGGGGGGGCATAAGGGGAAGGCAAAAGGACACCTTCAGCGAGGCGGCAAAAAGATCAGCACTTTTCCCATTAATGAAAGTTGTCTCCTGGGCTAGTGATGCTGGAAGGTTTGCCTTAGATGAGATTTTCACCTGTTAAAAGTTGTTTAGACTCTAAGACACATGTTGAACCTTTGATTTGATGTGTAACCGGCTGCTCTTACTACCCTTGCTCAGCAGCTCTTAAATCTTAACCTTTGTTAATAAACTCCAATTCGTTGTCCCTGTAAAGAGATGCCAGTGCTGTGTTGTTTGAGTCAATCGAGTATCCGTTCCAGCATAACAAGTTGGTGGGTGTATTGTTCCCATGAGAGTAGAGAACATAGTAGTTACTGTGAGGGTTCAGTGTCAGGGGCTGGACACTACGGGGGGATGATTTTGAGGAGTTTGTGGTGCACCAAGTGTTGCCCTTCAAGGCAAAGTAGGGGCTGGCACAGCCCTAGGAGAGTGCTTGAGTGGCTGGGAGAGTCCTTGAGTGGCTGAAGGGCAGGCGGGGTCAGGACACCAGCTACCACCAAAAGTCTCCTTCACTGAGGCAGGCGGGTAACACAATGACTCGCGGCCCCAGGGTGTCCAAAAAAGTATCCCATAGCCCCTGGGCTCAGCATGGTTCCCTGTCACTTCCAGGCCCCGGCAGGATCACCTGGCTTCAGAACTGTGATGCTGGGTCTCAGGGCTCTGGGCCCTTCCCGTTCCTAGGAGATCCAGGCCTCTGTGGTCCTTTCCTGCCCCTGGCTCTGGGATTCGCTGGCTTGCTACCCCGGAAGGGCAATGGGCTCAGAGCTGGGCTTTGTCCTTGCCCCTGCTCTGACATCACAGTGCCACAGGTATGACCTCACACTCCATCGCCAGGGAGACACCGGAGGAGCAGTTGAGCCAGGCAGGGTGGGTGGCGATCTTCTTGTCCCCATGCTCAGCTGTACCACGTCCTCTGTCTCTATAGCCACTGGGCACCCTGCCCCCCGGAGATCCAGCTCTCCCTCTGCCATGGGGCGCCTCCCCCTAGGTGGCGTCTCACCCTATGTGAGGACGAGCGCTGGTGGGAGCGTGGACCCTCTGAAGTTCTACGCCACGAGCTACGGCACGGCTTACGGTAAGGGCCCCGCAGCAAGCGGTGCCCAACGGGGCATGTGTGGCCATGAAGGATCAGGGGAGGGGATGGTGAAGCCCATGCCAGCCCTGGAGCTGGTGCCCCAGCAGGCCATGTGAATGGCCTTCCCTGCATCCCTGTGTGCCGGCCATCACCCCCTGGGGAGCCACCGACCCAGTGAGCTCAGGGAGCCAGTCAGCAGCGCTTCCCTCCCACTGTGCTCTACTTATCCTCTGCTGGCCTGACCCCAGCCTCAGTGTCCCAGCAGGGCCAAGGCCTAGGGCAGCTTCCCTAGCAAGGCCCCTGTGTCCCCAGCGCTAACCCACTAAGGACTGAATCTCTCTCACAGCTCCCCACCAGCCTTGGCCCTGTCCCTGTCTCATCCACAGCCACATCATCTTGAACTGACTATCTGTGCCCTCTGGTCCCCTCTGGTGGCCCGAGCCTGTATAGCCATGTATGAGTCCTGCCCTGGTGCCAGTCTAATGGACCTGCTGCTTCAGCTCAGTCTCCCAAGTTTAATCCCTGGTGATGCCAACTGCTGAGGCGCCATTGCAATTTGGTGCTTGGGGATTGTCCTGGAAGAGCAAGTCCTTTCAAAGGCTCTAACAGTATTAGAGGAACAGGAGGCGTCTCCCTCCCTGAACAAGTGTCTCTCTCTCTATGGGCCCCCACATTGCCTGCGTGGCTGATATCTGCGATTCCCCTGCTCTGTTCGGCAGGGCAGGAGAGGTTCCATCCTCGTGTTGGCCATCACTCCGGAGCCGGGTACAAATCCAATTACCGGCCTGTCGTCTCTTACAAGGCCAGCCTGGATGAAGTGGATAATCCAGCCGTGGGGTAGGCTGTCCTTGTGGAGATGAGGGGCCTGGGTACAGCTGGGATTGTGTGAGGGGTAGGGACCGTCCCATGGACTATAGACCCCTCTCCCACCCTGGGGCGTTCATCCCCAGGTTGGTGGGTCTCCCTCACTACTCCCCTCTCACCCCTTGAGGAGGTGGGTGTATCAGTGCAGAGCTGGGATCTGTCCTGCAGTGTGGCCTAGCGGATGGAGCACTTGCCTGGGCCTCAGGAGAGCTGTCACTGGCCTGGTTTGCCATCTTGGGCAAGTCACTTCCCCTGCCTGTGCCTCAGTTTCCCCCTCTGTAATGACCCTGACCTCCTTTCTAGAGCACTGTGAGATCTACAGAAGACCTAGCTATCATTATCCCACACTTGTTCTCTTCCTCCTGCTTCAGACAGCTCCTCCAGGATAACTACGACACGGTGACCACCAAGCATTTCCGACCCCTCCAGCTGCCCGATGGCAAGTACCCCTTGCCCTGGAGCGTCTACCAGCCGGGGAGCGGGTTTGTTCGAGACAAGCCTATTTCCTTCCCTACCACCAAAGCCGTAAGTGTCCAGTAAGCCCCGACGCTGGGCCTGGTCAGCTCATGGATCAAGATCCTGTCTGCCATGGGTTTGCCATTGGGAATGCAGCCTGGTGACATTGTGGCTAGAGGATTGTGTAGATGGTACGTTCCATCCCAGAGCTAGTGCTAGATTGTAGGGCTGGGGATAGAGAGGGCCCTAACCCTTTAATAACTATACACAAAACGACCCTTTTATTTTATTAACTACGTGCAACAAGGAAAATGGAACTTACAAAATTAGGTTTGGTTGTATCCATCTGTTGTCTCTTGACTTAGATCATCAGGTCTTTGGGACAGAGCTCATCCTGGTTTTGTGTCTGTACAGCACCTAGCACCTCTGGGTATGTCTACACTGCACGCAAAGCCCAGGTTCTGACTCAGGTTTGAACCCAATTCCCCCTTCCATCCACACATACATCGGTTTGACTCAGGTCAGCAAGCACCCAAGAGCCAGGTCATAGGACCCTGCTAGACTTTGACTTGGGGCCAAGCCCTAGCATTTTGCAGTGTGGACACAACTTAAGCTGCAGACCCGAGTCAGGAGGTCTGCGTAGTGTAGTATGGACATGTTAGCACAGCTGTGAGACCCTGGTCCAGCACTTGTAAGCTCAGGATTACAATGCAGTGTGGGCACTCCAGTGTAGGCTTGGAAACAGAGTCCATAAGCCTGGGTCCTGCAAACCCAGGTTTACAATGCAGTGTAAATGTACCCACGGGGCCTGGTCAGTGACTGCAGCTCCTACATGCTACTACAACACAAATAATAAACAATAGCACACATTGGTTCTGTTCGGATGGGAGTACAAATAACCCGACAGTGTTCATGAGTGCCCACAGGCCTAGAAAGTGCTGTGGTCTGCTCCTCAGCGCGGGCTCCATGGGGGGGTGGGTGCCATTGGCATGATGTGACCCCAGAGGTGGGGTTACCCACTGACTGCTTGGTGGCCTGTGTGAAATGAGGAGTTTGCGGGGAGGTCTCAGTCTGGATTGGACAGGTGGCCCTGATACATGTAGTGCCTGCACAGCTGGGGTGGGTTGGCAGTTTTAGCAGAGAGGCCAAGGACTGAATGGGCATGGAGTCTGCCCTGCCCTCTCCCCCTTAGAGCTGGCAGCAGCGGTAGGGCGTGGGGGCTTGCACTGCAGCTGGGGACATCCAGAGGCAGTCAGCGTCTGGAAGTGCTGATTTAACACACGTACAGGGGTGTGCACACTTGCGACGTTCCTCCCCTCCTTGGACACTCCCTTCACCTCCTGCAGCAAAGGTCCATATAAACCATCCCTTGGCTCTGATCGCACTCCTGTGGGGATATAGAGGCTCAGCAGTGCCCTGTGCAGCCTTGCCCATCCTGGCTGTGTGGGGACCTGGTGCTTCGCTGCCACGGGACTCACCAAAGGGGCTCACTCTGCAGGTTAAGAAAGTCCACTTCGATACGCGGGACCAGGGGCCGCGAGCCATCACAGGGCTGGAGCCCAGACAGCTCCCCGACCTGCACAAGCCGCAGGGGAAAGGCTCCGTCGAGGGGGAGAACGCCAGACACGTGAGTACAGGACCGGCTCTCCCTGGGCCTTGATCCACTGCCGGCACCAGAACAAAGGAGATGGAAAGGGGAGCCACCAGACATTTGTCCTGGGCATTGCAGCAAAGCAAGGGGGACAGCCCTGGTGTGTCTGTGTGCAGGAGTGAAGGGGAGATACCCTGGCACCAGAGTGGAGGGCTCCTGTCAGGGGAGGTGGGTGAGGGTCTTCTGGCAGGGTGTGTGTGAGCCCTGGGTGGGTGGCAGGATGGGTACTAGGCTGGGGAGGTGGGTAGGGGTCTACTGGCAGGCCGGGTGCAAGACTGTTTCCCCCCCCGTTCACTCGCTCTCTCCTGCTCCTTGCAGGGCCCTCTGTACATGTCCACAGAGTATAACTCCAAGTTCCGCTTCGACATTCCTGGCCAGCCAGGTACGGTCCTTCCTGGAGCCCCTCGCACCCTCCTGAGCCATGTCCTGGGGCAGCTAACCAGGCCTCTGCCATAGGCTAACCCATAGGAGCTACACCTGTACCCTTCCAATTCCCAGCCATCCCCTCCTTGTCTAAGCAGCACTGGGCCTAGCCATGGCTTGGAAAGGCACACCGGGTATTCTGTAATGAGCCAATGCCCCATTCTGGGGCCAGGGGGCATTGCACTGCTGGAGGACGCTGTCTTTTGGCTGAGACAGGAAGCCGAGATCCTGAAACCTGACTGCTTGTGGTTATTAAAGATCCCCTGGAACTTTTGCTAAGAGCAGGGCTTTTAAATGGTTTCCCAATCAAACTCCCATTCAGGCGCTTACCTTCTGCCTCCCTAAATTCCCCCAGCAGTTTCAATTGGCTGTGCTCTTAGTTTCCCCTGCCTGTCCTATTGCTGTGTCGTGTTGCTGTGAGCTGGTAAGCACATTCCAGCTCACAGGTGGCTGCATTGCAGTGGTGGGGAAATGATCCCTAGTCTTACTGGAAACCCCTTTATGGTCTGTTGGATGGAAAGCGCTGTGTGCAAGATGCTATCCTCACCCGGCAGCCCTCTCTGTCCTCTGCCTGGGAGCACAACCCCCTGTCCCTCTAGCCTTAAAGGGTGGGGTCTCCCTGCTGACGAGCTTACGGACGCTGGGGAAGTAGAGAGGGGGTGTTACTGGAACTCCTATCACGAAGGGAACCCTAGGTGAACCATGCTTTCTACTGGCTAGAACTGTCTGGGAATGGTAAGGGGTGTGGGGTTCCTAGGGTGGGGGGAGCGTGGGGAGCTCTCTGAATTGTCCCGTGGGCATGAGCCGTTCTGGGGTTCCCAGTTCTTGTCTCCTGTGCAGACTATGCCGGCTGCACAACCTCACCCCTGTCATTCGCGTGGTTCTTTGTCCTTATGATCGCTCTCACCTCCATGCAGCCACCTACGCTGAGGTCACCCTTCAGGCCAGGAGCGTCAGAGGCAGGGTTACACATGCAGCCCCCATCCACTTGCACCGCTATGTCACGGCCCAAGCCCAGGCTCCCTTGCTATTTCTCCCAAACAGCCTGGGGCCCTCCCTGTGATCTTAGCTACCCACGGGCCACCTCGAGATCTTTCCTCCCACGCCTGTTTGGGCTGGTCCCACAGTTGTCACGGTCCAGCTTATCTAAATCCATTGGCTTGTCCAGCGATCGTTTCCTCTCTGGTGCTCTCAGCTCCCATGTGCGCCTCATTTTGCATTCAATCAGCAGCCCAGTTAAGTGTGAGGCTAATGCAGACACAAGTCGGGCTTGCCCTGTGGGAGGCCCTGTCTCCCTCTAGTGGCTAGACCAAATGGAGGTTGATGAGCCAGCTCCAGCCTTCATTAATGGAGCTGATCTTTCTGCTCTGGCCGGAGAGGCTGGTGGTTTTAGAGCCAGAGGTCGGAGGTTCGAACCCCGAGGTGCGGCGTTACGTGACTTTAGGTGGCTTAGATATGTTGGTTGTTGCCCAGGGTTGGGAATGTGGATTACCGTGTATTCCCCTGCCTCATCTCCCATTACAGATTTCCTACAGCGAAAGACAATAGGAGCCAAGGAGGAGACGGGATTCACTGAGGGCACCCAGCAGAACCCCATTGCCTTCCTGCCACCTCCTCCGGGAGAGCCAGTAGGTGCTGGGCCCTGGCCCGCCCCCCTGGTGGTCATCTCTGAATGGAGCACAGCGTCCCCTTTGGACCTGGGGGTGACCCAGCTGTGCATGCCCAGACTTACCCAGGACCCTGTGCAGCTTGCCAGCCCCCGGTTTCCCAGCCTCTCCAGTGGGTTTCTCTTCCCCCCGCCCGTTTTGTTCAGAACCGTCTCTGAGCGGCAGCTGGGGTGAGGCTGAAGGATCCTGTGCCCCATCAGGGCTGCCCTGGAACACATGTCAAAGCTGTTTGGGGCCCAGCATCCCAAACACCTTCCCCCCCACTTACACAGACACACAACACACACAGATCCGCTACATGGGGAAGGTCGCCCACAGCCTGGCCTCATCCCTACCAGCCTGGGGACCCCATGTCATGGGCCAGCCCCATACACCGGCAGATTCCTTAGTAAGATCTCAAGGGATCCCCCTTAGATCCCAAGGGGAGGAGTTGGCCAGGCCTGGCCCAGCCTGTCAGGGGAATCCCAGGCCCATCCTGCATGGGGAAGGGGCCTCACTGCCCAGCGTTTCCCTTGCAGAGGAGCCAGCCTGGCATCAGCATCACCAAGACGGACTTCCTGCCCAGCGCTCTCCCCCCATGTAAGAGGGGCCGGGGGAGGGGGGAGAGAAGGAGGAGCAGAGGGAGGATGGCAAAGGGTAGGCTAAAGGGTGGGAGGGGTAGGAGGGTCACCCAGACATGGGGGGCAGGATGGGCAGAGTGGGGGAGTCACGCAGAGACTAAGTGGGGAGGGCAGAATTAGGATCTTTTCTGGGCCATAGCTCCATGCTGGGAAAGCCATTTGGAGTGCCCTCTCCCAGGGTCCTGTAATAGGTGGCCAAGCCCCTGTGCTTGGGTGGCTTCCAGTGCGATCAGGGCCTGTGACCCCGCAGAGGCCGGGCTGTGACGCCCTCTGCCCTGCTCCCCCTGTGCAGGTGAACTGGGTGGCTGCAAAGTCCTTGGAATGGGGGAGGTGAGACTTTGCCCCAGGCTGCATCACTTTGTCCCTCTCCTGACAGGGCGATGAGTTCCTGCCCGTGCTGTCGAAGGGCTCCGAGCGAGAGACGGGATTCAGCCGGGACAAAGACAACGGCCTCAGTGCCATGGTGAGCGACCCGCCTCCCCTCCTCCAACCTGCCTGCCCCCACCATTCCACTGGCACCCCCCATCCTGCCTTCAGTCCTCCCTGTCTGCCTGCATCCTCCTCTCCACCTGTAACCTGTCTGTGTGCTGGCCTCTCAGTCTCCTCCCTCCCTGTCTGTGACTGTCCCCCCATTCACTGGTCTCCTCCTGCCCCCCAGGGCCTGCCGCACGCAGCACCCCAGCCTGGGGCCGGGGGGTCAGGGCCCCTGAGCCACACTCAGTTCCGAGGGTTCCAGAGGCCCCCGCAGACCCAGACCAACCTGCTGGGCCGGGAGTCCGTGGGGAACAAGGTGAGTGTGAGCATGGCCTGTGCTGCTTGCCCAGGGTCCTGCAGGTCCCCTCGGGCCTGGCCAGCTCAGCCCTGTGTCCCTCCCCCAGGAACTCTCCGGATTCAGCATCAACAACAAGAAGTATGTGACGCCCCCCTATGACCCGGACTTGCCCAACAAGTACCTGAGCAGCTACAACTCCAAGTGAGTCTGAAATACTGCCACCGCCTGCCCCTGGGGGAGCTCTAGCCAGCCCACCCTGCCCCTGGGGGAGCTCTCCCCTGCCTCCCCCAGCGCTCTCCCCTCTCTTCATGTGCATGCCCTGTGTCTCTCTTGGTCTGAGTGGGGGTGCCCTGCCCGGGTGTGTGTGGGCAGGGAAAGGGAAGGGGGTAGCCCGGCCTGTGGGGAGGGGGCTGAGCAGCTGATGGACCCAGCAGGATGCAGCGCTGTTTGACTCTGTTTCCTCCCCTCTGGCAGGTTTTATGACAACACCCTCAAGGGGGTGGACCGCGAAGGATGGACCCGCGGAGGGATCCAGCCCCAACAGCCGGGTGGCTTCGCCACCAACAACCACATCACTGAACTGGGCACAGATCCCAATGCCACGGAGACCCTGAGACGGGTCCACCCCCATGTCGGCCGGTGAGGCTGGCTGGTTCCCACTGCCCTCCACCCTGTCCCTGACGCCCTCCTGCCCCTCCTCTTCCCTCTGTGATGCTCTCCCCCTCCACTCCCAGGACGATCACAACGGTGGACCCGTTTTATCGCGACACCCCTCACAACAGCCGCTTCTCTGCTCTCTACCAAACCGCCGTACCTGAGTAGGTAAGGGGCCTGCGTGAGCTCACTGGGCACCTCCCAGGGCAGGGGGGTTGGGATTGTGCTGCCTCCCAGCTATGCAGTGGAGCACCAGGGCACGCACCCATCAGAGACCTGGCCAGTCAGCTGTGAGCACTTGGCCCTGGTGTTGGAGCCAATGAGGCCAGGTGTCAGGCTCTGCTAGGCCTGGATCAGGCTTTCTGCTCCACAGCGAGGGCTTCCTCCAGGGCACAGCTCATGGCATTTCCTTTCAGGGGACGCTGGGAAGGGAGTCCCAGGCCCTTATGAAAAGTGGAGAGCATGACGGCTGCCAATCCTCATCCCTGTCCTTTCCCCAGCCTTTGAGGAGGTGATATGAGTTCCGCAGAGCCACTCCACCTTCTCCATTCCTCTCTTGGGGTCCCTCCCCCCACTTTGCCAGATTTCTAGGACCGCTTTGCCTTTTCTTTGCTTTCTTGCAGATCTGTGTCTCCACCCTGCAGGAGCTGGTCTCCCCTGGCGAGGCAGGGACTCCGGGGCTGGTCTCCCCTGACGAGGCAGTGGCTTCAGCATCTCCCAAAGGGCTTTACTTTTCCAATAATGTAAAGAGAAATCACCATCCAGTGAAGGCTCATTGGTTCTCATTGGCCTAGCTGCCAGCCCTCCTCCCCTTAGATCCCATAGACCTCTCCTCTTCTTCCCCATGGCCCCCATAAACTTCTCCTTCTCCTCTTCCCCGGGGACCCCAGCATGCCCTTCCACCCCGTCCGCTGCTGTTTTCATCGGGGAGCCCTCTGCTGTGCGAGCTGATCCCAGCTCTCATCCCATGGGTCGTGGCACCCATGTGCTGCCATGGGAGCTGGATGGAGTCTTTGCACCTGAAGGATCAGCTGGTGCCTCCTGGCAGAAAGGGGAGTGCAGCCCCTCCCCATCACCTTGCCTGCTCTGGCTGGGGGTGTCCTGGGCCCTGCAGTTCCGTTCTCTTGGCATTCGGGCCCCATCCCGCTCGGTGCTGAGCAGTTGGAAAGGAGGGTGCCTGGCACCACACAGGATCAGGCCCTTTGACTTGAGAAGGGAAGCTGGGCCCTGTTGCTAAGGCCACCCGAGACCCAGTGGAGGCTGCTGAGCTCTGGAGATGGGTGACTGAACCTGCCCTGCAGATGCATGCTCAGAACCAGTAAGGCTAGGTCACACTGTAATGTCCCCCTGCCCTTCGCCTGCTCGGAGGAGTCTTCACTCAGCGGCTGCTCTCCAGACCTTAATCCAGGTCCCTGCACTGACTCCAGCTGAGTAACTCTGGGTTTGCCTGGTGCAATCCCCGCTCTGCCTGACTGTTTCTCTTTCACGGCTCAATCACAGTGGTGTTTGTGATGGTGGAGGCAGCTGTGTGGTGATGCTGCCTGGCTCAGGTGCCCCAGCACGGCAATGCCAACCCGCTCATGCATGTGTGTTAGGAACCAACTGGCGAGCTTTCCCTTGTGCCCTGAAAGGAGCAGCTGCACTGTGGCGGTACCCAGATGGGAGAGGGGTAATAGCAGAGCAATGGGCTGGAATTGTCTCTTCAGCTGCCAGCTGGTACCTGTTAATATACAGTCTGACACACCCCTGCGTTTCCTCCCAGTCCTGTCACACTGTGCATCTACACGCACTGCATTTAATGACTCTCTTCCTACGGCTCCCCTCCCCATCCCAAATGGCTGGCAGCTCGATTCCCACACCCTCGCATGTCCCAAATACACCGGCACCTCATGGGGTGATGTATAGGTAATAGGATCCTTTCCCATGCCCCATAACCTACTGTACGGGGAGGTGCACATACACAGAGTAGTCTCCACGCTCCCAGCATGGTGTGATGGTACACGCACAAAGCAGGGTCTCCAGACACCCAGCGTGGTGTGATATATATACACACACACACACACGCATACCACATTCCCTGTATCGTGTGATGCACTCACATACAGTAGGGTCTCCAGATTCCCAACATGGTGTGTACATGCACCCACACACAGTCGGAGCTCCACATTCCCAACATGGTGTGATACACAGAAAGACAGAGTTGGGTTTCCAGCCTTCCAGCATGGTGTAATGTTATATAGATACATAGCGGGGTCTCAATTCACAGAATGGTGTTAAGCTTGCACGTGCACATGGGTAGGGTCTCCACACTCCCAGCCTAGTGTGATGCGCACACACACGCAATAGGGTCTCTAGGCTCCCAGCTTGGCATGATGCACACATGCACAGTGGGATCTCCCTGCATGGGGTGATATAAGACGTAGGCCTTTTCCCTGTTTGGTGTAGTATTGACCTTTTGGCTCCTGGGACTGCAATGCACACCCTCTGCACTCCTGCCCTCGGTCTCAGTTTCTGCCCCAAACCATGATATCTCCCTCTTTCCCGCTCTCGTGTTGCTCTCTGGAGGGTAGTTTCATTTCCTAGTGCATGTTTCATGAGCTGGGTTGGGGCCTCTGACTTTGACAACACTGAGCGCAGTCAGTGATACCAAACAAGCTGGCCTCATGTTGCAGGTAACAATGCCTTGCTGCAGCTCTGTTTTCCAGCACACCTGAGCCTGCCGACACCTGATCTCCCCCCCACACTCTGCAGAGGGGAAGCTGGCTGGGGGCTGTAGCTTTGCCCAGCAATCCTGCTACATCTCACAGCTTCTCTGGCTACAGCTCACTCAGAACCTCGAGTTAACACGTGTAACACTAGATGTGAAAGGAAACTGCAAGTGGGGGGTGAATTCTGAGTGTGTGTGTGTGTCATGGCCTGCATCATGTTTGTAGTGTGTGCAGGAGTATTTAGAGATGGGTAAATCCTATTGGCTCCATCAGCCATAGCCCATCCTGTACACCTGGGCTAGATTCTCCCCCATAACTGTGTCTAGTTTCCGTGTCCCAAGTGGCCGACTTCCCACAATCTGACGGATCTCACCGCTGGGAACATTTTCCTGGTAGGCAGCCTAAATTTTTCCTCATCCCATCATTTCTACTTCCCCTCCCTCCTTCCACCCACATCCCCGCCCCCGCAAGAATCCCTCCATCAGCTTGACATGCTGCAGGGACTGCCAGACTGTCACATTCCCCACTGCCACCTGGCTTAACCAGGCAGGATAGAGTTCACTCCTTTAATCTCTCCTCATAAACCAGCCCCTCCAGCCTAACTGGTTCTTTTTGTTATGCTTCTCTGATCTCCTTTAAGCCTCTCTGGTGAGGTGGGACCCCAACCCAACTACAGCTGGTCTGTCAGCAGAGCCAGATAGCAGGACCTCCCTGCCCTTATGAGGATCATGATAATAGGTGGGCAGAAGCATTATCCCCATTTTACAGATGGGAAAAATGAGGCACAGACAGGCAAAGTGACTTGCCCAAGACTATCCAGCAGGCCAGTGGCAGAGCTGGGAATAGACCCGAAGTCTCCTGAATCCCAGTTCAGTGCCCTGTCCACTACCTCTGCCTGTATAGCACAGAATCACACTATTTTTAAAATTTTTGCTGTCCAATCACGTCTAATGTCCTGTCCCTTATAACTCCAGATCTCTGCCTTAGCCTAACTTCCGGCTGGATTTCTCATTCCTATTTCACATCTATCTATGGGATTCTATTTCTTCAACTGGGTTAGCTTCACTTTCCCAAGATGGCTCTCCCTGTGCTGCTTGCATTTGTGTTTGAGTGCGCAGCGGTTCTGGATCTGACTCTGAGTGTGCGTGTGCATGCCTGCGTGAACCCCATGCCTGTGTGCACGTTTGTGTGTACGCCTGTACATGGCAGGTGATCCCAGCGAACGATGATGTGCTAGGTAATGGACCACGGTTTCATGGCTGTTCAGAGCACCAGCAATGCCCTAGTACAGGGTACGGCCCGTGGGCCGGATCCAGCCTGTCAGGGATTTCAATCCGGCCCACAGGATTGCCAGCCCTGTGGCACAGCGGGACTAAGGCAGGCTCCCTGCCTGCCCTAGCCCCATGCCACTCCCAGAAGCGGCTGGCACCATGTCACTGTGGTCCCTGGGGGCGGGGGGAGGGGCAGAGGGCTCCGTGCGCTGCCCTCACCTACTAGCACTGCCCTCCGCAGCTCCCATTGGCCAGGAATGGGGGAAAGGAGGCCAATGGGAGCTACAGGGGTGGTACCACAGGCGAGGGCAGCGCACGGCGGAGCCACCTGCTCCACCCCACCCCCAGGAGCCACTGCCGGACATGCTGGCCACTGCAGGAACCAGCGCGGGGCAGGGCAGGCAGGGAGCCTGCCTTAGCCCTGCTGCGTGCTGCTGCCACCATGGAGCCGCTTGTGGTAAGCGGCACCAGGTCGGAGCCCACACCCTGAACCCCTCCTGCACCCCGTACCTCAACCCCTGGCCTGCCAAGCCCCCCAGTCCTCTGCCTTGAGCCCTCTGCCGCACCCCTCCTGCACCCCAACCGCCTGCCCTGAGCCCCCCTGCACTCTGCACCCCCTCCTGCACCCCAACCCCCTGTTGCACCCTGCCTGCACCCCAACCCCCTGCCCTGAGCCCCCTCATGCACCCTGCAGCTCTCCTGCACCCCAACCGCCTGCCCTGAGCCCCCCTGCACTCTGCACCCCAACCCCTTGCCCTGAGCCCCCTGTCGCACCCTGCCTGCACCCAACCCCCTGCCCTGAGCCCCCTCCTGTACTCCACACTCCTCCTGCACCCCAACCCCTTGCCCTGAGCCCCTTCCCACACCCCGCACTCCCTCCTGCATCCCAACCCCCTGCTCCAGCCCTACTTTCATGGCCCTACATACAATTTCCCCACCCAGATGTGGCCCTCGGGCCAAAATGTTTGCCCACCCCTGCCCTGGCATGCAAGGAGCATAGGGGTGTAGAGCTGAAACGTATGCTGGGGTTGTTGACTTCATCTCAGAAGACAGACAGGGCTGTACATAGCTCTGAAAAAAAAAATCCCTGTTACCTTTACAACCATCTGGAGTGAGACTCATTCAGAGCAAGCGTTACTCATGACAACGGATATATAAAGGACTGAGGAGGAGTTAGTACCAAAATAACTAGCCTGGGGACCCAGCCACAGAGTGACTGGGGATAAGGGGAGAGCTGGCAAGGACTGAACCATGGTACACTGTTCAGGGGGTGTATGAAGGAGACTGACCAGCTGATGGCTCACCCCAGTAGTAAGTCACAGTCATTGCCTGGTGTAAGAGCCGGCTCCAATTCCCCTTGAAGGCAATAGACAACTGTCCATTTCCATGTGGTTGGATCAGGGCCTGAGAGGAGCATCGACCACAGCACAGGCTCAGGTGTGTCCCCGTTGTGGCTGTGCATACACGTACGTGTGTGTTTATGACAGGCCCTCGCACTGGCCTGCGTGTGATTCACTGTTTGCACGTGCTGGCCCTGTGCTGTGCACGAGTGCTGCTTGGTATAAGCTTGCTAGTGAGAATAGGGTTAACTCCCCCCTCCCATGCATGCCCACGGGCAAAGCCGGGGCTCACGTGAGCAGGCCTGGCAGTAGGTGCATGCAGCAACCATTCTAGCCTGCGCTTGGGTTTGTGTAATGAGTCCTGCAGAGGGGGGCTGGTGTGCAGGCCGCTGGCTGATGAGCTGGTGAGGCTCCTCTGGTGTCCTTTGCTGTGTTTAAAATGAAAACTGGTCACAGCCGGAGACAATTAGGGTCTGAATTACAGAGGCACTCAGCGCCCCCAACCCCCAAGGAAAACAATGTGATTTGGTGCACAAAAGGAAGGGTGGGCTTGGAGCTGAGGCACTGGAAGACCTGGGTTCAGTACCTGGCTCTGCCCCAGACATGTGGGACCTTAGACAAGTCACTGCATTTCTCTGAGCCTCATTTCCCCACGTGTAAAATGGGGATAATGATCCTTCCTTTGTCTGTGTAGACTCGGCACTCTTCAGCGGAGGGGCTGTCTCTCACTGTGTGTCTGTGCAACGCCTGGCACAAGGGGCCCTGATCTCAACCAGGACTTGGACTGCTCCTGCGGTGTGTCTGTAGTGCCTGGCACAACAGGGCCCTGATCTCTGCCGGGGCAGGGCCTGTCTCTCACAGTGCACCTGTGCAGCACCTGGCACTCTGGGACCTGATCTTGGTCAGTGCCTCTAGGTGCCGTTGTAACACAAATAATAACAGAGCTCAGTGCCTCAGGAACTCAGGTGGGGCACCCAAAATTAATGAACGGTTCTGAGATTCTGGGGCTCCCAGTTTTGTTACAGGTTGTTTGGTGTCTACACACTGTGAGTAACACTGGCTGCTCCTGAGCATTTCTTGTACAGCAGCAATTCTTGCCTCTCAGTCAGTCCGTGTGTGACAGAGTAACACCCGGGCAGACACACACCCTCTGGCTGGTCAAACAGGCGGCGGCTGTTTGTTCTGAGCAATGCACCATTAACAAGGGTGGGGCAGAATGTTGGGCTGACCCAGGAGGAAAAGGGGAGTGAGAGGCTGACCTGACCTAGGGCGATGAGGGGGGAGTAAAGGGGATGAGGACAGCTAGACCCAGGCTTGTGAGAGGGGGTTGAGTGGCTTCCTGACCAATCCCTGTGAGTGAATTCTCAGCTCTTAAGTGTGTTAGTAATGGTGGTGGTGGGAATGGACCTCAGACTATCTAGTTTAGCTAATCAAAAATATTCTAATCATGTTCTTATCCCACGGTTAGCACTGAGGTATTGTGCAATGAGACGTGAGGGACTTGGAATCTCAGCCCCCACTACCAGAACACAGGACCCTGGATTGCCCCATCTGTAGTTACAGCACAGGAACGAACCGGACACACATTACACTCTCTCCTTACTTGGGCAAAACCCCCATTGATTTGGTTCCTTATTTAGTACAGGCTCCGTCTTTAGTCTGGCAAACTCCTGTTGACATTGGTGGGAATTTTGCCTGAGTAAGTACAGTATCCCACATGCAATCTATGGGAGATTGTCATTGGGACAGTGGCCACTGGAGGGCTGTCTGAGTATAATTTTTCCCAGGGAAGGTCTTGTGGATGACACAGCTGATTTGAACAGGGAACTAAGGCAGGAGAGTGGCTGAGTACAAAACACCTGGAGGGATGTGTAAGAGGCAATAAGAGATACACAACTGCTGATCGATAACTATATCTCGAAGCATCTTTTGTCTTGGTGGGATGAGATGGCAAAAAATGGGGGTAGGGATTGGGATCTATGGTACCAGGGGTCTTGGTTCTGCCTATGATCCTTTTCTGTGACAGTGGGGTCTCCACCTGGTACTTCAGAGCCTGGGGTTGTTAAGCTATTTCTCTAACCTGGGAATGAGGCAGGGGGTGTTGAGAATGGTATGAATGGATCTGGAGAAGGTGGCTGTCTTCTCCAGCTCACTTCCAGCCACAGGGAGAAGGATAGAAAAAAGGGGAGGAGAGAAGATAAGAAGATCTCAAACTGAACCAAAGTAGCTAGGCTGTGCTGAAGAAGAGAAATTATGGCTTTTTTAGTTATTTCTGGAGGAGAGGAGACTTAGGAAATTCAAAAGATGAGGAGATGCAACAGTTTCCATGAGCAGAACCTGGATACAGGAGAGGAGCCAGGACTTGATAATTTAAAACTCACTGAATATGAGTGAAGCAACTAGTGGACAATGTTTGGGAACATTACTGTAAGAAGAGTAGGTACTTGGGGTGGAACAGAATTGAGGGTGGCAAGGAATGAGCTGAAGGAAGGGCCAGATGCACAGCTAGTGTACATCAGCATAAATCCATTGACTGTGTCCATTCCCACCAGCCGAGGAGCCAGATCATCATCTCTAGCAGGGCCACCAGCTCTAAGGTACTGATGCAGATCTTTGCTGTCTTCTCAGAATGCAGTGGACACAAGGGTCAGTGCAGGGCAGTCAAAACCCAGTATCTCAAAAGGGATAAAGATGACTAGGTCTCTGAAAGAAACCAGGCTGGGTGACGTGGGAGTTTATGTACTGTCCCTTAACATGCACATGCATGCATGTTTGTGTGTGCATGGATGTTTGGTGTGTGTAAGCCTTTGGATACCACAGTGGTGGCATGGTATATGAATCTACACAGAACAGAACAGAAACGCATGCATGTTTGTATATGTTTGCTGTATGAATTTAGGCACATGTGGTTGTGTGCGAATGTACATTAGTTTTCTGTGTGTGTATACATGTATGTTTAGGTGTGTAGGTGAATTAAATATTTGTGTATGGCATATCTTGTGCGTGGGTGTACATTCAGTGTGTTTGTTTGCATGTAATTTGAATGTGTATGTGTTCTTTACATGTGCATATTTGTGCACAAATACTGTGTATGTGTGCATGTTTGCTCTGTGTATTTAGGGACACAGGTGTGTGTGTGAATGCAGATATGTATAGGGATGTAGGTGATTTCAGTATTTGTGTATGGCATAGACTGCATGGGTGCAAATTCAGTGCATTTTGTGTTTGCATGTAATTTTAATGTGTATGTTTATTCTTTATGTGGGCATATTTGTGCACAAATACCATACATGTATGTGTCCTTGTGTGCATATGCCCAGGTACATGGAGGTGAGTTCATCTGGTGTACAGATCTGCATGTACATGAGGTCAGCATGTTTGCGTATGTGCCTCTTAATTTTGTTGTAGGACACAGGAGTTCATGTATGTGGGCATGCGGATCTCTTGTGTGCTGCATTAAGTGGGAGGAAGGGGATACTGAAAAGATACAGGATGAACCAAGTATGGGGGAGTTTTGTTTTCAACATGATTTGGTGGAAAATGAATTAGATGAAATGAGAAGGGAAGGGGGGAAAGTAAAGGCAGATGCTGTGACCTCTGGTAACCTCTGGGCTAATTGGCTTCACTCTGTGGGGAGATCAATAAACTCTTGTCAGCACAATTCTCATTCCAGCCTCTCACAGGAACTCACAACAAACC